AGGGCCATTGTTTAAAATAAGGTTACATAGGGTTAGAGTCCTAGTTGAAGCTAGTTTAATGTTGGTGTCATGGTTTAAGCCAGGGGTGAAGAACCCAAGCCTGCGAGATGGTAACTCTTTCGCCTGGTCTACAGGAGGCCGTGGGCTCCAACCCGACCCTGACGCCTGCTGTATATTTGGAGTTTGCGTGTCTTTCTCCCCGTGATCGCGTGGATTTTTTCCACGTTTAGAATCCACACGCGTTAAGACTATGTGGCGGCTATAAATGTCCACGTGAAAATCCACTTGGTTGAGCTGTCATTTGTGATAGCCAGGTCGCTCCTGAAAAAAGAGCTGCATAGCTCAGTGGACCTTACCCTTGAAAACAATAAAATAGTCGTAAAACAAATCTTGTATCATGTCGTTACACGCACTTGCCAGTCGGAACGTGGCCGTGTACCGGCTGTTAGTGAATCGCTTTGATCGCGGGTGTGTGTTGCCGTATTCACCAGGTAGAGCACGTCCAATAATCACCCATTGGGTTGTTGTACCTGTGCCAACGAGAGAACACGACCTGACCCACGGCACCTTGACTTCATTCAACACGTCCCTGCACCACGTGAATCCTTGCTAAGGTCGTGGAGGCGACCCACAAACTGCTGCCAGCATCTTCGCCGCACTAATCGGGTCCTGCAGGGGGGGGGGGGGAGCATACGCCCACCCTGGCTAACGCCACGCACGGGAGGAGCCTCTGATGGTGATGGAGAGGTGTCGTTCGTGTGTCGGCTCATTCGTAGCCGGCAAAATTAGTCCGAAAGTTCTCTTCGGGCACCTTCGTTAAATGGAATGTTGCCACGCTGCTGTTTTGACGATGTGTCAGTGTTAGAACCATTTGTTAGAGCCAAAGTTTACCGCACCTCCGATTAACACGGTTGGCTACGTACGGTGCGAAAGCGGTTCAACATACATACAATGTTAGTGTTAGAATGATGGTTTTTAAGCAGTGGTTCTGGGGTGCGAGATGCCCTGTCTGGGGGTGCGAGACACGGCCAGACCTTGTGTATTTATTAACATTATACTTTTGTTTTACTTTTGAGAACCAAAGGGTCGCAAGGCTGCAGTAAAGGTTATAAGCACCATGGTTTAAGCAGTTAGGGGTCTTAGTTTAAGCTAATGTTGGTGTCCGGGTCACTGTATTCTATTGTTAGGGTTAAGGTTCATAGCGCTATGGCTATCATTTTTAATGGCCTGCACGATGTTACAGTTACGCCTTAGAGAAAGCGACTCATTCATCAAGTTGGCTCCATTCATTCTTCATCGCGATGCCATTCATTCCACAACCTCGCCGGGTCATTAACTCCGAGCGAAGGGCCTCCTGCGTCTTCCTGTTGGCCTGCACCCACCCGGAGTGAAACCCTAAACCCAGAACGTCCGCGGCTCGTAAATCCTCGTGCCTCGTGAAACACCGCACGCATTTGCATGTTTTGGTAAGAATTATTATTTTATTTGAAACTGTGTTTTTGTGCGCGTGTCAAACGAATCGTAAAAGCCACACAGTTTTAGAATACACGATGCATTTTGTCTGGGTTTATAGTTTACTGAGTTTGTGTGCGTGACGTGTGTGGTGGTGTCTGTGTGTCTGTGTGTGGGGGAACGGTAGTGTAGTTGTTAGCGCGCTGCGCTACGAACCCGGCGAGCCGAGTTCGGTTCCCGGTCATGACCAACACCGGTGGCGATTATCTGAACCGGGAATGGGCCTCCCCTAGGTCGACTCAGCCTCAAATGAGTACCTGGCGCGGTGTGTAAACATCGCCACTGGGGAGACAAAGGCCGACCGAGCGTGGTGCTGGCCACCCACCCCCTCGTGTGGCGTGCCGTCCTTCAAAGGTGCTCGCTAACAGCACTTGTCCCAAAAGTCTGTTAAGGCTACACGGGGGATCTTTGTCTGGGATCGATTACCATCTCGGGCTTACGTCAGTGGTCCTGGTCCTGGGCCTCCCCTAGGTCGACTCTGCCTTTAAACGAGTGCCCGGTGCGGTGTGTAAAACATCGCAGTCCGTCAGCGGAGCGAGCATGGCTGATGATCGTGATGCATCAGTTGGTGATGCTGCTGCTGCTGCGTTGGCAGGGGTGCACAAGCACAATTAACACATTCGTCAAGCAAAATATATAACAGGCGACGTTTCGGGAAATGCCCCTTCTTCATAGCAACGTAAATCAATGCATTAGTTTCGAAGGCAGTGTTGTTGAGGAATGTGATGAGTGTTTTTGTTACTGGTGTTTGATTTAGATGCGCGTGTCTGTGCGTGCATAAATTAACAGCACTTGCCCCAACAGTCTGTTAAGCCTATACGGACGTGGGATCTCTGTCTTTGCATAAATTACGTATTGCGTGAGTTTGTTATTGATGTGTGCATGCGTATGGACATATACGTGTACAGCTAACATACACAACTAACACACATGCTGTACACAACGACACTAACCAATTCAAGGCCAACACTTTACATCATGCACCATTGCCTAGCACACGACACGTCACGGAGACTCTGCGTGGGTTTGTGTGTCTCTAAACTGGGTGTGCAAATGACCAAATCACTCGGCAGGCGCTCCATCTCTCCAACGTGGCTGGTTGAGTGGTGGTTAGGACAGGTGACCCGTATGCGTGACAGGTGCTATCGGACTCGGGATTTCGTTGTATAGAAATCAGAGCGCCATAGGGGGAAAAAACCCCCATTGTACTCTAATGTAGGTCTATACAGTCACGTATACCCCCCCCTCCCTACCCCCCCCCTCCCCGGACTGACCGTCGTGGTGAAGTATGCTCAAAAAAGTCTCCCCGATGGTACGACGAATCGGGGAGACTGCCCCGGGCCCCGTGCTTTGGGGGGAGGCGGCGGGGGGAGGGGCGCTTCCACGTCGCGCTGTCAGAAGTAATACTTCGTCTGGCTTAGTTTGAAGGCGTTTGGGGGGGGGGCATAGTGGGGGTTTCCCCGGGCCCCCTCCGCGCCCCCCCTAATGACGAATCTGGTGGTCAAATAACCTCAATGAACCGCACGGCGTGGGGAGGCCCTCACCCAGCAGTGGATTGTTATAAAGGGCCGTACATGTTTACGTGCACATGGAGAAATCTATGCTATGCGTGATGTGTTTACATGTTATACAACCTGAGTTCAATTCCAGGTCACGGCTTGCAGCGGTGCACATTGGGATCCTCAGATGGAATGGGCATCATCATAATTATTATTACATCTCAATCGGTTGCTGGCCGCCGCCCCGAGGCCGACTCCGCTTTTGCACGAGTAGCCGGTGCGCTGTTTCACTCATCGGCACTGGGGGAGACAAAGGCGGCCGGGCGTGGCACTGGCCCACCGCGCTCGCTCCTGCACGCTGGTCTCTGTGCCAGGCAAGTGCTGTTAGTGAACGGCACACGAAGGGAGGGGGTAACCACCACCACGCCCGACCACATTTATTTCCCCCGAGTGACGATGTTTACGCACCGCACCAGCTACTCATTTGAGGTTGAGTCGACCTCGTGGAGGCCCAGGACCGGTTCGGATAATCGTCACTGACTTTGACCGTGAGCGGGGTAATCGGACCCGGGCCGCCAGGTTGGTAGCGCCAGCGCGCTAACCGCTCCCCCGTGCCGCTACCAGCACCAGCAGCAGCAGCAGCAGCAGCACCAGCAGCAGCACCAGCAGCAGCACCAGCACCACCAGCAGCACCAGCAGCAGCAGCAGCAGCACCAGCAGCAGCACCAGCAGCAGCACCAGCACCAGCAGCAGCACCAGCAGCAGCAGCAGCAGCAGCAGCACCAGCACCAGCACCACCACCAGCAGCAGCACCACCACCAGCAGCAGCAGCACCAGCAGCACCAGCAGCAGCACCACCAGCACCACCACCAGCAGCACCAGCAGCAGCAGCAGCCCCCCGCCCCCCTCCTCCACTCGGCGTTCCCACGGGCGACCCGGCCCTGTCGCGTGGTCCGCCACCTTCCCCATTCTTCATGTAAAACTCATCAGCTGCGGTCACGTCCCTTCCACAACGGCTCCACTTCCCCGATTCGCGAGATTCCTCAATGGTCACTAACGTCCCCCCTCCTCCTCCCCCCCCGGGCAATAAATAGACAGGGCGTGGCGGTGTGGCAAAGAGGGCACGTGCCAGGTGCGAGCGTGGCAAGAGTGTGGGGGGGAGCGGTGGCGTAGCGGTTAGCGCTGCTGCCGCCGCTGCGAATCCGAGGTTCGATTCCCGCTCATGGTCAACGCCAGTGGCGATTTATTTGAACCGGTCTTGGGTCGACGAGTACCTGGTGCCAATGTGTAAACATCGCCACTCGGGAGACAAAGGCGGCCGGACGTGGTGCTGGCCACCCACCCCCTTGTGTGCCGTGCCGGCCTTCGTATGTGCGCGCTCAGAGAACTTGCCCCTACAGTCGGTTAAGGCTACACGGGGGATCTTTGTCTTTGTTGGTGTGGACTGGAGCAAAACTGGTCTCAACTCTGAAAACAATTCCACTGTATCCCATGCACAATGACGATACGAAAACGACACGATTGATCGATTGATATAGCTGAGCTCACGATACATGCATCCAATCGACGTTATTGGATTCGTACATATTGCATACAATGGACAAACCTAAGCCTCGTCCCTGCAGCCACGAGTGGCCGCTACATTCACCGCAACGTTCATAGAAAACCTCACAGAATCGATTCTTAAATCGAATGACCGGGAGTTGATCAATACCCCCATCATCAATAAACAAAACGAAACAAACCTCACCAACACGTGATTACATTATCAGCCCATTCACACGGAAAATAATCGTCACAGAATCTCAAGATCCCAGCTTCAGGAGGGCCCTGCCACAGCGGAACGATTGGCCACCGCTGGCAGCTTGGTCGAGATTGCGTGGGCTGACCACCCTACAAACCGTGCCGAGCCGCGCCGGGGCCGTGCCGAGACAGCCCGGCACGGGTGGTTTTTTGCTTTGTTTCCACCACTGCAGAAGTCGTCGAGCCGTGCCGCTGACGTCGTCGCGTTCTACTGATTGACGCCAATTGCAACGATTAGCCCCTTGTTTGGCCACGAGCCGAATTCAAGTTTCCCCCCTCCCTCCGTGATGCCAACGTTTCACGGTTTGCCTCTGGTTCGGCTCGACAAATCGCCAGTGGAAAACCACCCGTGCTGGCTCGGCTCGGATGCGCGAGCGGGAAATTCTTACACGAGGGCGCCCTGGCCCACGTCGCACGCCGGCGCTGGCCTGGCCCCGCCCCTGGAGCCGATCGTCTCCAGGCTGCCCGTGAAGAACCCTCGAGTCTCCTCGCTCCAGAGCCGCTCCGCGCTACCGCCCCCGCGTCTCTCCATCGACGACTTGACGGACGCGCGCCTCGCGCGTCACGACGACGGTGGCGACGGCGGCGACGGTGGACACCTCCGCCACGCGTTCCTAGATGCTCGTGGAGACGGAGCCGGTCCCCGAGCGGCTGCGCTCCCCGGACGATCCCGACGGCGGCTCCTCGTGTCCTCGGCACCCCGAGCGCCCAGTCGTGGGGGGCTCTGCCCCCGTCCGCGGGGGGCACGCGAATCCCAGGGCGCTGGCGCAGCGCGCCCTGAAGTCGACGTCGAAGTAGGCGTAGAGGACGGGGTTGAGGCAGCTGTTGACGAAGCCCCAGCAGAGCGCGAAGGGCAGCCCCACGAAGATGGCGCGCTCGAGGCCGCATCTCATGGGCAGCAAGTCGAGCCACACGAGTGCGTCCAGCGTCTTGAGGAGGTGGTAGGGCAGCCAGCAGGCGAGGAAGGTGACCACCAGCGTGGCGATGACTCGCAGCAGACGGCGGCGCTTCCGGCTCTCCCTGCGCACGTGCGTGAAGTGGCTCTGGATCTTGGCCATGATGCGCGCGTAGAAGAAGAGCAGCGCGCAGCCGGGCAGCACGAAGCCCAGGCCCGTGGAGGTGAGGCTGAGCCCCGCCGCCCACAGGTGCTCGGTGTCCGGCGACGCCACGGACGCGAAGCTTGCGCTGCACTGGATCGTCGTCGTCGTCGTCATCGCCATCGTCATCATCGCGGCGTCGGACATCGTCCTGTAGGAATCGTCCATCTCCTGTCCGTCGCCGTCGCTGTTGTAGCTGTAGTCCGTTTCGTTGCGACTGACATCGCCGCCGCCGCCGCCGTTGGGGTGTTCCACGGCGGACACGCCGCTGAAGATAATCGAGGGCAGCGAAGCGACGAGGGCGCTCAGCCAGATGACCGCGCAGCGTCGCAGCGCGGTCCTCCTGCCGCGCGGGCTCCCGGCGGGCCGCGAGCAGACGACGGCCTCGTAGCGGTCGAGGCTGAGGCAGGTGAGGCAGAAGATGCTCGCGTACATATTGAGCATGACCACGCAGCTGCTGAGGGTGCAGAGGAAGCCCCCGAAGGGCCAGTGGTAGTCCAGGGCCGTGTAGGCGGCCCAGAGGGGCAGCGTGAGCACGAAGACAAGGTCGGCGGAGGCGAGGCTGGCGATGTAGAGATCCGTGTTGCGCTTGCGCGTCTTGAGGCGCGCGATGGTCCACACCACGAGGCCGTTGCCCACGAGGCCGCACACGAACACCAGCGAGTAGACGATGGGGATGAGCGTCGGCGTGACGTTCCACTCGCTGTAGTCGCACTCCGCGGCGGCGGTGGTCGTGGTGGCGGTGTCGTTGAGATTTGTGAAGTCGGTGGGGGTGACGGCACCCCCATAATCCGACTCCAAGGATGATGGATCCATGAGAGGTGGAGGCGAGAGGTGGGAGATGCGGAGAGATGGGAAGGTGGGGGGGATGAAGGTGGAGAGAGGTTGAGATCAGAGAGAGGCTAATCAAAGAATGACTTCAATGAGATGCAGGGAGACACGAAGTGGAGAGTGGTGGAGAAGATTGAGTCGTGGAGTGGAGTGGCTATTGAGAGGGTGTCAGAGAAGATGCTGCGGAGGATGGAGACGAGAGGGAGTCGGGGAGCGCGTGGGAGGATGCTGATTAAGAGACACAGAGCTAGAGAGAGGATTTAGGGAGAGGGGTTTGGAGAGCGTTGAGGGATGAAGAGTAGGAGGCACCGTCGTGACAGATAGAGAGAAATAGAGAGAGATAAGATAAATCGTGTCGAGAAGGGGAGTCCTGGAAATCGTGCAGAAGATAATAAGTGGATGGCGAGAGGAGAGAGAGAGAGAGGTGGGGTCAGGGAGAGAGCGTGCGGAGAGTTCGGGAAGAGTGAAAGAGGAGGATGCCAAACTTCCACGGATGCCGTTCGCTTCCTCTCCGCTCACCTCCCGTGGGATCTCACTGCTCGCTCCTCCTTCCCTCCCCTCTCCACCTCTCACCCCTCTCCTCCACCTCCTTGTCCTCTTCTCTTTGCTCTCTCTTCGGTCAACGAGACGCAGCTTTAAACGTCGGCGCACCGAGCGCGCGTGACACTGCGAGCGTGAACGCGCGTGACACTGAGCGAGACGCGATGCGTTGGTGTGGCCGCCTCCACGTGACACTGAGCGAGACGCGATGCGTTGGTGTTGCCGCCTCCACGTGACACTGAGCGAGACGCGATGCGTTGGTGTTGCCGCCTCCACGTGACACTGAGCGAGACGCGATGCGTTGGTGTTGCCGCCTCCACGTGACACTGAGCGAGACGCGATGCGTTGGTGTTGCCGCCTCCACGTGACACTGAGCGAGACGCGATGCGTTGGTGTTGCCGCCTCCACGTGACACTGAGCGAGACGCGATGCGTTGGTGTTGCCGCCTCCACGTGACACTGAGCGAGACGCGATGCGTTGGTGTTGCCGCCTCCACGTGACACTGAGCGAGACGCGATGCGTTTGTGTGGCCGCCTCCACGACAAACGGAGTGCGTGGCACGCGGAGGCTATCGCCGGCAGATCTGTTCCCTTCTTCCCTCTTAAAATCAGTCCTTCCCCAATCCAATACCAACTCGCAGCTGGTATGGACCAGGAGGCGAGGAGAGGGGGGCCTGGGTTGGGGGGGGGGGGATGGGCGTGGGGCGGCAGCGGGTGGGATGGGTTGTGTGTGTGGGGGGGGGGGTGTAATGGGTCCTTGTGTGGAAGCCGGTAGGGGAGGAAGGTGGGTGCGGGAGAATGGTTCTGTGGAGTCGGGGGAAGAGTTCGATTAGCACGTGGTGGTGGTGGGTGGTGGTGGTGGGTGTTGTGGGTGGTGGTGGGGGTTGGGGGGGGGTCAGGATAATGGGAGGAGGTTAATGATGGAGGTGAATCCATGTGCCCAGTAACGAGTTCATTTCCGAAGCCACGCGCTATCTGCGCCATCGCTTAGTGTGAGTGACCCCCAGGGGAGGGTGGGAGGGTGGGGGGGGGGACTCCCACCCATGCCCGCACAGTGACGTCGCTGCTCGCTGGCTTTCTCACTGATTGATGGGAGGAGAGGTCATGGAACGGGGAGGGGCGGGTTAAGGGGAGGGGCGAGATTGGAGGGAGGGGGAAGTGGGGGGGTTGGAGAGGTTTTGGTTGGGGCTATTCAACTTTCGGTGTTTGAAATTCAACCCTGTCCGATTGAAAGTGCAACTTATGGGATTAATAACAGCTCCAAAAGGCAACCGCAGCTCAGTCCAACATCGCTTTGGGTCTCTCCGCCGCGAGGAGGCCTCTCCGCGTCTTGCCGGGCAGAATCAGAATCTATATTTAGATTGCAGGAGGAATCCGAAGAGCTATAAAGCTCTTTTTTTCCCACAGATGTTCCAGCAGGAGCACGGCGTCAGAACGTTGCACTAACAGAAAAAAACCGATGCAAAAACACGATGGGAGTGCAGAGTATTTGAAAGGTAAAAAAAAATAACATCGCTTAATAAAACATACAAATACAACTAAACAATGTTTTATTTTAACTTGTTTTTTTTAGAAGCGACCTCGCCACAAATTATGGTTCAACGAAGTAGCTTACCGTGTGGAAATTGATAGCAGCAACAATAATCTAGAAGCATGTCGTGCAGGATAGAATCTTAGACTATACTTCACTGCTTTTGGTGAAGGTGCGAGAGCCGTGGATTAACCTCCTCCGATATCGTTCTGACGATTGCCGTGGCCGGGAAACGAACTCGGTCAGGCATTAGCCGAGTTCATAGGGCACGGCGCACTAACCACAGCGCCACCGCTCCACTCGAGGTCACTATGCATAATGTATGTAATTATATTCGTGCTGTGTACTGTGGGGAGCGGTGGTGTAGTGGTTAGCGCGCTGTGCTACGAACCCGTCGACCCGAGTTTGATTCCTGTTCACGGCCACCAGCACCAGTGACCATTATCTGAATCAGTCCTGGACCTCCCCTAGGTCGACTCAGCCTCAAAAGAGTACCTGTTGCGGTGCGTAAAAACATCGCCACTAGGGAAACAAAGGCGGCCGGGCGTGGTGTTGGCCACCCTCCCCTTCGCGAGCCTTGCCGGCCTTCATAGGTGCTACTCCCTAACAGCACTTGCCCTAAGAGTCTGTTAAGGCTATACGGGGGATCTTTGTATTTGTGTCGCTGTGTACCGTTTGTGTCTGTCCGTCTGTGCCTGCGCACCTGTCGAATCGACCTCAAATGAGTACCCGTGTGGCGGTGTCAACATCATTGGGGGAAACAAAGACGGCCGGGCGTGGTGTGCTGGCTCACAACACTTGTGTGCCGTGCCGACCTTCCTAGGTGCTCGCTCACAACACTTGCCCTGGATTATTGAATGCGTCTGTGAGGAGCTGCGATTGTTTCGCCCGCGCGAGTGCCGTGCCGGGTTTTATATTTTTACGATCTCTTCCCCCCACATCCCTCCTGCTCCTGCTTCCACCCTCCCACTCGAAACTCTCATTTAGGGGATTTTACAACAACAGTAGCAAAAAAAACGTTTCAACGTGTTGCCAACTCTGACTGAAACTGCTATTGCGGGGAATTTTAATTTTGAGTCAATAAAAATATATGAATTAAAAAACTGTCTTCTTATTAAATTCTTCCCGGATTGCGTTCAACAGTTACCGGGAGACCATTGCTGATTCCAGTCGACATTCCCGGCCAATCCGGAAGGGTTGGCACCACACAGACTGACACGGGCTCACAGACAGACACGCGGGCTCACAGACAAACACACGGACAGACAGACACACGGACACACAGACAGGCACGGGCTCACAGACAGACACACGGACACACAGACAGACACACGGACACACAGACAGGCACGGGCTCACAGACAGACACACGGACTCACAGACAGACACGGCGATTTTGCAAGTCTAAGGTGTACCTTGACACCACGTGAAGTGTCTCAGGCTCGCTGGCAGGAGGCCACGGGACAGACCTATGAGTGCTGTTGGCTACATACGGTGCGAAAGAAGTTCAACATGTATACATACAGGGAGGGGCCCTGGGTTGACTTGACTGCGGTGACTGGGCGATGCACCACCACCCTGTGCTCCCCACTATGCCATCTCGCTGCTTTTTAGCCGCCCGGCACTCCGCTCGTTGTTGTGAGCGTGGTTCCTCTGCCCTCCGCTGTAATCGAAGGGCGAATTACCTCCAACTGCCCAAGCAGCGTCCTTCACGAGCCTCCCCCACGGACACACGGACCCACAGACAGACAAATGGACACTTCCTGCATCCCCGTCTCGTTTTATTCATCGGATCGGCCGCTGCTTCATGTCACAGCCATAGATCGCTCACGTCAATCAATCAGCGCAGAGGAGCACCCATCAATCACTGCAGTACATGCATACTGTACAAATGAGTATATATTGCAGGTCTATAGCTGTGTGCGTTTGGGGGAGGGGGTGGGGGTGAGATGGGATGGGTATGGGGTAGAAAAGTTAATCACAGTCCAATTCCCACCGTCAATTAAGCCTCGGTCACGTGACCAATGGTTAATTGCACTGAGGAGCGGGGAGGGGCTAGGAGGAGGAGGGGCGGGGCGGTGGAGGCGAGATGTGGAGGCGCGTTAATCCATCATCACAAATCGGCGCTTATGTTCATAACAAATATCCAGAGCAACAACACACACATAGCCAAGAAGCGAATTCTAAATAACGGCAGGCACCCCACGCGTCCTTTGGACGTCACCTTACGTCCCTCCCTCCCTCGGAACGCAAAATCCAGCCAGCGAAACTTGTTTCTAATCAAGTGTACCGTCGCAATGAAAGGTGAAATGCATCTCAAACCTGCGGGGGGACTGTGATCCTTATTACGTTGGCAGTGGAGCACGAGCGCAAACAATACAGACGTCAGGAACACATTGTCCCTGAAGAGGAAGACAATATGGAATAGACGACGTTTCGAGGAATGATCCGCATTTATGTGCTATGAAGAAGAGCCATTGCTCTTTCGGCACCACGGTGCTTTGGATTCGTAATTATATTTACTGTTGGGTTAGATCGTGTATTGGTATCATGCCAATGTTTAGCTATAGCAGTGTTCGACAACCAATATAGAACTGTAAACTATTTTAATTTTGCAAGGTCTCGTGACCCACTGAACGAGGTAGCTTTTTTTCAGAAGGGACCTGGCCACAAATGATAGCTCAGTGCAGTGGCTCATTCATGTGGAAATTTACAGCAGCCAAATACGATGAACGCGTGATGTTTCTAAATGTGTGTGGGGGGGGGGGGGGAACCCCGAGGAACCGGAGAAAAACCCACACGACCACGGGAAGAGAGAGAGACGCAACCTCCAAATATACAGCAGCAAGCGTCAGGGTCGGAATCGAACCCACGACCCCCTGTACACCAGGCGAGGAAGTTAACATCTCATAGCCACCGAGGAATGTTGAATAACGAGCACAAATGTTCACAGTTTGTCCGACGTTTCGCTGGATATCACATCGAGCATCGCCAGGCGTGAACAGCAGCTCGGCTCTCGCGTGAACGAGCTTGGCAGTGTCATCGACGATTGTGTTGAAGTTTGTTGTTTTTATACTGACAACAACAAAATAAGTGTCGATTTAAATTCTTCGATTGTTTGACTGAATTCTCACAAGTGTCGAAGATAATGGAGTTCAGTCGGAGAGACGTGTTCGTCGTCACGTGACACACTCGCTAATACGTTCTTCTTAGCGCCTCCGATTGTCTGCCACCACCGCTGCAGGTGAAGCAAGGCAGGTGAGCCCGGAACACGGGTGAGTGGGAAAGGTGAGTGGGGAAGGTGAGTGCTAAGGCTATGCGTGAGCAGCGTCCAGGTGAGTGAGGCGGGTGGAGCGGGTGGGGTGAGGAGTACAGGTGAGTGGGGTGGGTGGAGCAGGTGAGGTGAGGAGTACAGGTGAGTGGGGTGGGTGGAGCAGGTGAGGTGAGGAGTACAGGTGAGTGGGGTGGGTGGAGCAGGTGGGGTGAGGAGTACAGGTGAGTGGGGTGGGTAGAGCGGGTGGGGTGAGGAGTACAGGTGAGTGGGGTGGTAGAGCGGGTGGGGTGAGAGTACAGGTGAGTGGGGTGGGTAGAGCGGGTGGGGTGAGGAGTACAGGTGAGTGGGGTGGGTGGAGCAGGTGGGGTGAGGAGTACAGGTGAGTGGGGAAGGTGAGTGCTAAGGCTATGCGTGAGCAGCGCCCAGGTGAGTGGGGTGGGTGGAGCAGGTTCAAGGTGTTCTCAAGTGATGAGCAGCGGACGCTTTGTTTTGCACAGCAGTGGCACAACGAACCAACGTAACGACAACGTTTCTATGGGACAGTCTTTCCTAGCGTGTGGCAGTGCGCATGTGTGTCGGTGTATCTCAGTGCGCGTCTGTGTGTGTGTCTGTGCGTGTGGGGAGTGGGTAGCGCGTTACGAGACCGGCTAGCCGAGTTCGATTCCCGCTCACGGCAGGCACCGGTGACGATTATCTGAATCGGTCCTGGGCCTCAGCTAGGTCGATTCAGCCTCAAATGGGCAAGCTAGTACGGTGTGGAGTAAAATAAAATTAAACATCAGCACTGGGTGCTGACCACCCGTCCCCTCGTGTGCCGTGTCGGTCTTAAGAGGTGCTTGCTAGCAGCACTTGCCCCAAAAATCTGTTCAAGGCTACTTGGGGAATCTTTGTCTTGTGTGCCAGTGTGTATCGTAAGCCTCGACCGGGTCACATAAAGCAGAGGCGGCCGCTTGGGGAGGACGTGGCGAGATATTTTTGCGATGGATTTTATTTATTTACAGAAGTTTATTCATTAAAATCACAATGCATTCCGAGAAATCCATGACCTTCCCTTTCGCAGTGCCCGACTTTGGAATGTCCTTTTGACCAATCTTAATATTCCACTTTTACCTTCTCGAGCCACGGATTAAATCTGTCACGATTGCGATCGCTATAACTCGTGCATTTGTTTTTTTACGTTTATTTTTTAAGAACTATGCCATTGTGTATCCTGATTTACAGAAAGTTCTGGCTTGGGCGGCGTGTAAATGAACGCGGCCTGTCACATTCACTCCCGGCAAAGGACATCTGATTTTCTCCAGGATAAACACAGATACTCTGATTTCGATTTAAAGCTTTCGTGACTGCAGGGATTCATCTTCTTGGTTCTTTCGGTAAAGTCACGTAGAAGGGAAGTAATAAAATAATAAAAATAAAACATAAAATATACGCTCCAAGCTTGGTGGTGCTTCATTCTTCGCCTGAGGACGGCTGCTTGCGTTGTGGCCGAAACGTCGTGAGAATTGTTTTATTATGTTTTATTTTTATTATTTTATTACTTCCCTTCTACGTGACTTTACCGAAAGAACCAAGAAGACAGATACTCTGATTCTCTATCGCCACTGCAGACCGTCTTGCGCTGTGGTCACTCCTTGGAATTGAGTCGCTTAGCTCCACGGAGCCTTGGCAGCTGGGCAAAATAAAGCCTGGAGTCTGAAAAATCGATCCCGATTCCACACGAATAGCAATGCAAACTCAATAAGTCTTAATGCAAGCGGATATAAAGTCCGCTTTACGGCGGGAACGAAAGCACGACATTAAAAGTCAAAGCCGGTGGGTTCCCTTGACGCATCTCTCCTGGTCACAGTTCACCACCCCACCTGAGCCCGTGGTGGACATTCCACGTTACTACGACCGGGGCCGGGACATCCGAGCCGAGAGCGCGAAAGTTCACGTCCGTGGCATCGCGTTACTTATCGCCACGAACGGGCGACTCGTGCTGGAATCGAGTCGGACTTTTGCGCAAGTCCGACGTTTCGGTCTCCGTGTGCGCGCGCGCGCCCGGCGGCGCCAGGAAGCGGCCGCAGCACAAAGCGGCGGCGGCGTCGCTCGCGTTCGACTCCTTGGCGGCGGCGCCGCCGCACGCGTCGGGGGTGTCGGATCGGGACGAGGGCTCGTCGCGAGACGCCGTCGCGGCGCCGGATCCTCCCGCCGAGCTGACCTGCGCGGCCATGAGCGCCTCGAGGGTGGCGCAGCGCAGCACCCCCAGGCACGTGGACCTGAAGTGCGGGTCGAAGTAGGCGTAGAGGAAGGGGTTGAGGCAGCTGTTCACGTAGGCGAGGCTCACCGTGTAGGGCAGCCCCACGAAAATGAAACGCTCCAGGCCGCAGCGCGTGGGCAGCACGCCGAAGTGAACGAGCGCGTTCGTGACCTTCACCGCGTGGAAGGGCAGCCAGCAGACGGTGAAGGTGAGCACCAGGTTGAAGATGGTCCTCAGCAGCCGGCGACGCTTGTCGCTCTCCCTGCGCACGTGCGTGAAGTGGTTCTGGATCTTGGCCATGATGCACGCGTAGCAGTAGATCATCACCACCTCGGGCAGCACGAAGCTCGCCGACGTGTGGAAGAGGCCCGCCATGGCGTTCCACCAGTCGGGAGACATCTCCCCGTTGCTGCCCAGCGAGGAGTACTCCACCACGCACACCACTCGGCCGCCGCTCGCGCCGTAGCCGTCGTCGTCGTCGTAGCTGACGTCGTCGGCGTCGGCGGGATCTTCGGCGATGGTCTTGGTGGTGGCCAGCGCGGCCGTGAACAGCGCCATGAGCGACGAGAAAGTCCAGACGCCGGCGAGCAGAGCCTTGGTCACGCGCGCCGTGCGGAACGAGTGGGACCTCAGCGAGCAGACGACGGCCACGTAGCGGTCGAGGCTGAGGCAGGTGAGGCAGAAGATGCTCGCGTACATGTTGAGCATGGACACGCAGCTGCTGAGGGTGCAGAGGAAGCCCCCGAAGGGCCAGTGGTAGTCCAGGGCCGTGTAGGCGGCCCAGAGGGGCAGCGTGAGCACGAAGACAAGGTCGGCGGAGGCGAGGCTGGCGATGTAGAGATCCGTGTTGCGCTTGCGCGTCTTGAGGCGCGCGATGGTCCACACCACGAGGCCGTTGCCCACGAGGCCGCACACGAACACCAGCGAGTAGACGATGGGGATGAGCGTCGGCGTGACGTTCCACTCGCTGTAGTCGCACTCCGTGCCCACGGTGTCGTAGCCGTAGTTGTAGTCGTAGGGGAAGCCGCTACTCGTGTGGTTGGAACTCCCGGACGCGGTACTCGTCTCGTTGAACGATGGTGATGACGATGGTGATGCCGATGGTGATATTGGTGCTGATGATGTTGGGGAGGTCGAGTGCAACTCCGGGTGTTGATATGCCACCGTGATGCTGCTGGCACTGCCGCTGCTGATGCTGCTGCCGCTGGTGATGCTGATGGTGACGGCGGTGACGAGGACGACCGAGACGATATCCATTTGTGTGTGCGGGGAGTGGGGGTCTCTAGCAAAGATGGGGCTCAGTTGGAGCGGCAGGGTCCGCTTGTACGACGAGAGCTGTGGCGTGGGGATGGGGGGGGGGGTCCGTGTCGCTCAAGTCGTCGCACAGCACTCGCCTCGGATGATGCTGCCGCTGCTGTTTATATCAACGTCCGTGTCGCCTTCGCAAGGTCCCCAGGGCACCTCGCATCTACGCACAACGCTCCAGGTGTTCAAGAAGGAGGGTCAGCGCCCCCCCCCCCCCCCACAAAGCTCCCTTCCTCGATTCCCAGCGTGCAGCACCCAAACAGAGTGGGGGGGGTGGGGGGGTGGAGATCTCACAAAACACAACAACAGCAACACAACAGCAACGCAACAACACAGAACGACACAGCAAACCAACACAACAACAACACAACAACAAGAACACGACACCAGAACAACAACACAACAACAACAACAGAACAACAACAGCACCACAGCACGCGCGCTCACGAATGGACCGCGCGCATGAAACAAGAGGCGAGTTTGCGGGCAACTCAGATGAGGAGGAGGAGGACTACGGCGAAACGAAACGCTCGCCCTAATTTATTCCGCTGGGAATAGCGGCGGAGATGTGTGACTGTTATCGCGACTCATTGCATGGAGCCAGTGACCGCAGGCCCTATGAGTGAGATTACGGTCACGGGGTCGAGTGTTAGGGGTAGGGGTGGAGGAGATGGGGGGAGGGTTAAGCAGCATGAGTCGTGTTTGGAGGTTTACGCTTTGGGGTTTGGAGGGGGGTTGATTGGTGGAGGGGATTATTATGTTTTTTTTAAACGATATTATTTGAATTCTAATATTGTTACGAAACCCCAACTGCCGCTACTGTTAACGTCACGAGCTCTTTGATGTGATGATGATGCTGCTGCTGTTGTTGTTAATGATGGTGGTGATGCGTTGACTAATTTCCTTTTACTGTAAATAGCCGTGCTGGTTTCGTGATAAGTCGTTGGTGGTGGTGGCGGCGAGTATTATTATTCACGTAGCCTGCGGAAAAGTCAAGACTCACACATTATCTCGAGATTTATATATTTATATACGCATGTGAATTATGGCCTGTTGCCACCCTCTGCCACTCCACTGCTGGATGAAGGCCTCCCGCCACGGCGCGTCGGACTTGGTAGGTTGTTTTGGTCATACTTCACCATCGCCGGTCAGTTGGGGATCGGTGAAGGGGGCTCGCACGCAAGGAGAAGGCTCATCACATATCACTCGCCACGTGGCATTGACCCGTTGCTCGGAATATAACTCCGGTAGAATATCGGCCTAACCTTGCACGCTGGCCATTCGTCCTGAGCAGTTGATCCCACCAAATGCGACTTATACCCATGTATACTATTGGTTCGACAGAGGCAGGCAATTTAAGACACTCGCCCACTGCTTTCATTACCGCGCCGGGAGAATTAAACTATTAAACTTTTATTTAATTTTGCCAGTAAGACCCCGCTGAGCTACGATGTAGATATTTTTCAGAAGCGACCCGGCTGTCACAAATGATAGCAGCTCAACGAAGTGGCTTCTTGTCACGTGGACATTTAAATTGTCACGTGGACATTTAAAGCAACAGCCAATAATCTCTACGCGTGTTTCTAAACGTGAAGGGTATAACGACGCCACCACGGGGAGAGAGACAACGCAAACCTCCAAATATACAACAGGCGTCAGGGTCGGGATCGAACCCACGACCTCCTGTATACCAGGTGAGGTCGTGAAAACCTACGCCACCGAACCAGCGACCCTCTGCATTGAAAGTCCAGTGTGCTGACCATATCACCCACCAGCAGCAGCATCATCCCCTCGTTGTGATACTGCACATGTAGGAGGAGGAGGCTTCGACTTGTTTGGGGCATAGTCAAGGGGTCAATACATTAGGAGGTCAATACGGCCAATGTAATGAAGCACAGTCGTTACGCAGCACTACCTCGTGTATAAGGGAGTTGAGGTTCTACGTGGTCCAGGTGTGGCACCACATCGGGGGACTGCAGGAATGCGTCTCTCGACTCACGGTACTGAACGTGGACACCAAACAGCACCACTTGAGTGGGACAAAGCCCTGGCCCTCCAGCTGTCGTGGGTGGCACGTGGAGTGTGATGAGCGGGCAGACACGTGGCTGTCAGCTCAGGGCAGTTTAACGGAGTTAAGGGCAGATACAAGGGGTGAGAGGGAAGGTCAGGCAGTGAAGGGAGTGTTGAAAGGCAGTTAAGGTCGTTCAGTGAGTTGAATGAAGGATAAAATGGGGTGCCACCAGTCCCTTACCTCTGTAGAGTGTTTTGCTTGGGCACAAATAGAAAGATCCCCCCATAGCCTTAACAGACTGTTGGGGCAAGTGCTGTTAGCGAGCACCTATAAAGGCCGGAACGGCACACGAGGGGGTGTGTGGCCAACACCACGCCCGGCCGTCTTTGTCACCCCAGTGGCGATGTTTACACATTTGAGGCTGAGTCGACCTAGGGGAGGAGCCTCAGGACTGGTTCAAATAATCGTCAGTGATGTTGGCCGTGAGCGGGAATCGAACTCGGTCGCCAGCTTCGTAGCGCAGCGTAGCGCTAACCACTACACCACCACTCCCACGCGTACAGACATACAGACATACACACACGCACGCGCACGACTTCACAAATGAAAGTCAGGACGTTTCATCTCAATTCCTTTCTCGTGGTCAGAAATTTAAACATTTTATATCGAACCATCGTGGTTTAATAAACAAAAGCCGCAACAGCCGTACGACTGCGATAGTATTTATATTTTTTTAAGAACTGGAATACGGTCAAACCCCTCTTGGCGACGGAAATTGCCTGCACGAAACCGAGTTTAGCAAATACCCGTTAAAGGTTTAATTAGCTCCGATGGCATCTAAAGTTACCTTTTGTCACCCAAAAAACGTACTCGTCTAATATTTAAACGATGGATATTAATACGTAAAAATACTACCAATATTATAAACACATACCTGTTGAAAGAACGTGGTCAATCGATGCATTATTAATATTGACTGTACCCACAACAGCCCGTCGTTAACCTGGGAATGTTCGGTAAGTGAACACTTTAGGCTCATACGGAAACACTACACTACTATACCTACCTATACACTACACTATACACTACACTATACACTACACACTACACTATACACTACACTATACACTACACTATACACTAATACAACTACTATACACTACACTATGCACTACTATACACTCACTACACTATGCACCACTTACACTACTATACACTACACTATACACTACACTATACACTACTATACACTACACTATACACTACACTTACACTATACACTACACTATACACTACTATACACTACACTATACACTACACTATACACTACACTATACACTATACACTACACTATACACTACACTATACACTACTATACACTACACTATACACTACTATACACTACACTATACACTACACTATACACTACACTATACACTATACACTACACTATACACTACACTATACACTACACTATACACTACTATACACTACACTATACACTACTATACACTACACTATACACTACACTATACACTACACTACACTATACACTACACTATACAACACTACACTACACTATACACTACACTATACACTACACTATACACTACAATACACTACACTATACACTACATACACTACACTATACACTACACTATAAATATACACATTGGGCTCTATTAAGACCCGTCGTTACGCCATTAGTCGTTAACAGGGGTGGTCGTGATGATGGGTTCTACAAAATGGCCTTAAAAGTAAAAATATATATCATTTGCAACGTTTCGGGCAATGGACCTTCTTTATCTGCGACGAAGCGAGCATGTGCCACGCAGAAGGGTCATCGCCCGAAACGACGCCTAGTCTGTAGTTTTCCTTTCCGAGGCGACACATCCAGAGTTCTCGTCGCCTTCAAAGTTGTGAGACTGCCGTTGTTGAGTGTGCCTGTGCACCAGTGCCAACGCAGCACCCAGCCGTGTGGCGATGGCAGTGGCAGGGCCTTTGGTGGACAGCAGGGAGCGGTGCAGCGATCGTCTCCAGCAACAGAACCACTCAATTGTATTTGCTGGCGAAACGTCGGACTTCAGATTGTAAATGTTGCGTCTTGGCTCTCCAACACAACGGTGTGGCTGGACTAGAGACAAATTGGCCACGTTCTGTTTACGTGACAACCCCTTACTAACTGGCTGTGTCGGGTGGTGGCGGGTTTAACGACACTTTTATATATTTGCGATCGAACCCAAACAACCTGTACCTTGCATGATATTGGCCGTGTTATACAGCCACCCCTGTTGTGTTGTACTGTACGCCTATGTGCTGTCACCTACACAACCCCCCCCCCCCCCCCCCGCTGTCCAGCCTGGTGAGGTATGGTCAGAATAACCCCCTCGACCCGCAGCAGGGCGTGCAGATGCCCTGCGGTCTATCCAGCAGCAGATTGGCCAAAAGGGGCCTGTTGGTGTACAGGCTGGTCCAGATGTCTTGTGACCCCCCCCCCCCCACCAATTAATTTACCCCGAATAATTTTCTTCGTCCTTTGCATACTCATTTCTGTTTTAAACCGAGTATTTTTTTATTTTAGAAAGTATTACGTTTTAGAGAATTTGATGGGGGGGGGGGGGTCTCAAGACATCTGGACCACACTACCCAGCGACGGGGGCCACGTGACGGACCCTGGCTCTGTCGTGAGTCCGCGTGCCCACCGCGACCTCACGTGACTCAGCGCGGACATTGCAGCTGCAGACTCGCCCAAGTGCATCGCGCAAACCACTGCGTCACGTCACACTCACCACGACATTGTTTGTACCAAATAATAAAATGAAAACAGTGCAGGCCATGAAATAATACGTTTCAAGCAACGCACGGAAACATGCGCAAAAACAACCGGCCTTTTACGCGTTATTCTAACCACATCGGCATAAGAGACATTTCTAAGGGTGAGCTTAATACAAGGGGGCCCTTAAAAGAAGGCAGAAAGAGCGTCTTTAAAGTC